CAAATGTGGGGTTACAGGGTTTTATTCATTTCAATCAAGACTTCTTGAACCCACGTGTTTTTCTAACATCATGACAAATGTGGGGTTACAGGGTTTTATTCATTTCAATCAAGACTTCTTGAACCCACGTGTTTTTCTAACATCATGACAAATGTAGTATTTGCTTACAAATATGTAATTGTTATTATCATTATACATGACAGTCATGATACATCCATATTGTTCGCAAGACATACTTCACAGCACGTTATTTTATTGTGCTCAGCTACTATTAACTAAACTTTCTGAGAAAAATTTAAAATAAATAATATAGAATCTGTAACAGAACATCAGGATAATTAGTGTACAAATAGTTGGGAATTTGGAAATTATTGAGAATGGCCACCAGTGTAAACACCTACTCACCTCATGTGATCTAAATGAATACAAAACAAAATCTTCATGCAGAGAAAACCATCTCTGTACCCATATTCTACTTCTTGACCTCATGTGTAGGTAGCTACTAACAACAGCTGAGTCAGATGGCTTAACCTAAAACAAACAAAGATGTAACAATAACAAACAGAAATTAATAAAACAAAAAAGTTAGCAAACTAACACAGGCATAGATAGGAGCCAGTATAGCTCTAGCTGTATCACTTTTTTTGGCTGACATAGATTGGAAGAAGAACATGAATCCCACCTGTATCATAAGTAGTGTTGATATAATATTTCAGTTATTGCATACTTGTCCTTCCTAAGAACTTGAAAATAATGTCCTTTAAATCAAATTTAATATCTAAACTACCAATGCATGTTCACTCATAGCATTTGTAGTATATCCTTCCACTCTCTTGAAAAATCTAACAAACAGGGTTACTAGAATGTAAGTGCAGTAGTAAATATAAATATTCTTTATTTTCAATACGACCTAGATTTAACAGAGAAACCTTTGCAACATTTACAAGTATTGATTTGTGGTAGAGATTAATGTAAGTTAAGTAACACTTACCTCCAGAATTCCTTTCCTTTTGATAGGACTTTCAATATTTTCCTTCTGACTATCATCTTCCTTTCCCTGGGGACTGTGAGAGAGGATATCATGGCACTGGGTGCATACTCGACCAGTTTTATTGTTATCATAAGGTAGTGGAGACTTCTGGGAAAGGCATTTGTTACAAGCTACCTAGCATTTAAATACAATTTTATAAAATGGTTTGTTATTGAATAATTTTGTTCACTGGTAAACACTAATTTGAATGATGCAATATATATATATGACACACACATCTTGAATGTTAGAATTGCTTACCTATAACTTTCCCAGTTTCTATATTATCACACAATACAACCATGTACATAAATTATAAAACAGATAATTTTTTACCTCCTTTTGGAACTAATATGTTAAGAATATAACTATCTTTTTATGAAAGTAACATTATTTATTAGTCGTAAATATCTTACAAAAAAGGATATGTTGCTTTATCACAATTCAATCAATAAGTTTGAAATATTAAGTATGTCAAGCATGTGTAGTGCATCTTTAAAATGATAAAGTATAACAATAAATTAAAAAAAAGAAAGATAGAAAGTTGAATATGGTGCACACAGCAACTTTTAAAACCATCAAAATCTATTCTATGATTGAAAAAATAATGAAAATTCAAAGTGTCGGTTGTAACGAATTTGTCATATATTTATTTTAATATCAACGTTTGTTTAGATTAAGTTTACTTAAAAACATGCATAGC